TATATAATGAATTTAAACAGAAGGTATCATCCCTATAAATTTCACCTTTACTACAAGAAACTAAAAAGTCCCCAAATCTTTAAGCCCTTAATACATGCTATAAGTGGAAAAAAAAATAATGGACTGTACTATATTCTAACTTACCCATACAGTTAATAAAATTTATGACTACTTTATGAAATCACTTATTAAATCAAATTAATTAGCTTACATCTCAAATATCTAATGTAATTATCCAAGTAATTTAAAGTGGGGGAAATCTCATCAGTTGTCCATTTAAAAACAGCAAGCAAGTAATCTTGGTTGATGTGTAGCTAGTTACAATATCAAGTAGGTATTCCCCTTCTTCTTGTTTTCTTGAAGAAAAGTTATTAAAACTGAAACACTTTCACTTGCTTTTATAGGTAAAGAGGTGAAATCCAAATGCCAAAGGTCAGAGTTCAGAAGCAGTCACATTATTCTTGCTGTCAAAGACTGACTTTTGGAGGCAGGGCACAGGAGAGAAGCAAATCACATTTTAAAAGTCTTTACTCAAACTGGGGCATATTATGTCCTTGCTATATTGGCCTGCTATAGTTACAACACAATATGGTCAGCTATTATCCAAAACACACGATAGAGTGTTACAGCAAAAACAGACTGCTGACATGAGCATTTAATTTACTCTTGACTCCCAATTCACCAAACAGCTATTCCCTCCATTAGATGTTGTGATAAGCAAAACTGTAATTCCAAATTAAACTCAACATTTAGTACATGTACTAATATTATGCCAGTGATATTTTGGGGCATGATTTTGTTAACTAAGCAAATCACTCAAGAGTCTCATAAAACAGAATCAGATCTAAGATAAATTGAGATTTCATGAATAAATGGTTTTTAGAAATGAGAATACAACACATACAGTCACAGTGCTTTACGATTAGCTGCACCATCACTGTGGCCCAGAAGAAAACTCCTTTAAAGCAACTGCATGTCTGATAGTAAAGAGTGGAGATTTAAAGGAGTTCAGGTTAATTTTAAATGGTCTAATGATATATCTTCCGTTTAAATGATTTTTGAATGGGATCTAAATGAGTGTGGCACTACCAATCAGAGAGGTTGTAAAAGGCTTCTGCATTAGATGGGAGGTAAGGCAAGACACCCAAGAAGTCATTTCCAATCCCATAAATATATGGTCCAGAGTGTACATGAACTGTATTGACCACATACAGCCCTAGGACAGTATTTTTCTGTTTCACATGCCTGAGAGCATCTTACACTGCTGCGTGCCAGGCAGCGGTCCTGCACAGTTGTCAGAACTTGAGCATAAGAATCACAATTTGCAAAAACTGGTGTCAGCAGCCTGGAAAAATCCCAGGAACAGCAGTGGAGCAATCATTTCAGGAACGCTGTCGCCAAGGCTTTGATGGCACAGAATATGATGTGAGGAAAAACAAGGACAGCAAGACCCTGAGTCAAGAAGTGATTCAGAAGAACTAGACCCAATGTGAGCCAGTTTTTAAGAAGATCTTAACCCTGGGGTTCTCACTATCAGCACGTTGACATTTTGAGCCCGACAATTCTTTGTTCTGGGCAGGGACAGAGGTGAGAGCTGTCCTGTACACCAGGATGGTTAGTAGCATTGCTGGCCTCTACCCACTAGATACCAATAACACCTGACAGGTTGTGACAGCCAAAAATGTCTCCAGACACTGTCAGATATCTCCTGGGGACCAAAATCTCCCCCAATGCCTTAACCTATTTATTTTGCTTACATTTTTCTCTTTTTGAATATGCAAGTGATGTTTTTTAAAAAAATCAAAGTCATGCTTAATGAGATCTTTCAATAAGAAAATTCTAAGAGATAAACTATTGTGTTACAATTTGCAGCAATTTTTTTCTTGTGGTACATCAAATACAATGCTTCTTATAATCAATGGCATCTTCAATTCAATGAAATTCAGCCACCCAACATCTTTTTCTTTTTGTTATGGAATGCTTATCCTGATTTCTTTTGAGTAAGTACTTCTTAGTAGTAACTTAGCAGTAACCAGTTCTTCCCTAGCTGGGGTTCTCTAGTCTTCCTTTTGATTCTTTTGAGCTTTCCAAAATGCTTCTAAAAATCCCCTTGCTTCCAAAGTTAACCAGAGTTAAGTTTCAATCTTTCAACCAAAAAATCCTGACCGAAACAAGGTTCTTATTTAAGCTACCCTAATAAAAGACATTTCAGAGTATTTCCCTGCCACAAAGTTCACCTGTTAAAAATGTTACTGCTTCTCCTTACCACTCACCACATAGGTAGAGTGAGTAGGGGTATGTATAGATGACACAAGGATTGCTGAAACAGTGGCACAAGGAACCCTCTAAAACGGCTTACAAGGCTTCATTCAATTAAAGCAACACATAAAATCTATAATAATGAAAGTGTAATATGCTAATTAGACCAGACTGCTGAATGACCTTCTGGACGTCATTCCAGACATCCTTCTGGACAAACCCGTGATGGTGGGGGCCAAGGCAGAAGCAGTTAGGGGTGATCAGGCAGGCAGGCAGAGGTGGTTAGGGGTGATCAGGCAGGCAGGCGAGTGTTTAGAGGCAATCAGGCAGGCAGGCAGGTGAGCAGTTAGGGACGATCAGGCAGGCAGGCGAGTGGTTAGGGGCGATCAGGGAGGTAGGCAGAGGGGATAGGGGTGATCAGGCAGGCAGGCAGGAGAGCATTTAGGAGCCAGCAGTCCCAGATTGCGAGAGGGATGTCCCACTGCCGGATTAGTTGGACATCTCCCGAGGGGTCCCGGATTGCAAGAGGGTTCAGGCCGGGCTGAAGGACCCCCCCCCTTTGCACAAATTTCGTGCACCAGGCCTCTAGTAATGTATAAATGCCTTGACACCAAAAGTTGCCTTGCAAAGACTGCACACAACACTTTCTTAATGCTTTTTCTAAAGTTTCTTCTCTGGTACAAAAACAAAACAAACAAAAAAACAGCTATTGATTCTTTTAAAAACTATCACATAGATGAACACACACTCTGTGCCAAGATTTGACAGCTGGAAGTTTTCATGAAGAAGGCTTCAAATAAAACATTTTTTAAAAGAAAAAAAAAATAATAAAAAGGCTGTACCACCCTCTGTTCTCCTAAAAGGTGACAGAAAATAAATTCTTTATCAATAGTCATTTGTCCAGGTTACAGCTAGGCTGCCAACCCCAGTCCACTTGGGATTTGAAATTGGCTCTCCCTGGCACCTTTTATTCATCTCATCTGCCCTTTACCTCTCACAGACCAAGACAAAGCAAATGGAAGCTGAATAAAAAAGGAAGAATAAAGAAAGAAAACACCAGAGTGAGAGCTATTGTAAGAAGCCTGTACCATAAGGAGAGAAGGGAAGTCAAAAAATTTCTATGTGAAATATAATAAGCAAAGTAAACATGATTTTAACCCCAAAAAACTCCTTATTAAAATAAAATTCAATTAAAAATAAAATTTCAAAGGTAAGAAATTCCACCATAATATATTGATTTTCTTTGCTTCTTAATGAAAATGGTCTGAATTTTTTGGAATATTCAAACTTCACCATCTAATTACATACTCCATCAGCCTAACCCAATTAAATAATTATAAAGTGCTATGTGGAAAACTACAGAAATATACACAGACTCTTTTCACCAGTACTAATTACATCTTGATTTTTTAAACCCTAAACTATGAGCCTTCTCTATTTCCTGAGAAAATGGCAGTCTTAATCTAAAACTTATGTTCTGTTTTATACGTTTCAAAAGCAAACTGGAGGTAGCTTAGCACTTACATCAATAAAGAAATTTTAGAGATGAAATATTTAAGGCCCAAAGAGGTTAGATTATATGTTGAAGGACCTATGGCCATTGAAGACGAGAATCCAACTCAAAGATTCTTTACATTTAGCTCTCCCAAGCAAAACAGTTATGCAACCAAAACAAAAACAAGCACACGCTAAGCATCCACTGGTGGCAGGCATGTGCTTAGTGCTCACAGCAGAAAGGCATTTGCATGATCATATAACAGTAATGCTCTGTGCTGTATGCAAATTTCAGAAGTAGCACAGATGGAAAGCACTTGACTCTATCTTAGATTAAAAAGTATTGGCATATTTTTATGAATAACTGTGTACTTTAAAGGTCATTAAAAAGTTGTCCTTTTACCCCAAAAAATTACCTATGCTGTTTTGAATATTGTATGGTTTTTAGTTTATAGCTTTGAACATCTTTTTGAATCAGCACATAAGGATCTACTTGACTGTCTACTACTGTACTGAGGCATGTGCCATAACTCAGTCATCCAGTCCCTATGATGGCCATATGAATTACCTCTGGTTTTCTACTATTACAAAAACACTTCAATGAACATTCTTTTAACTGTTAATGGTAGTAGTAGTTTTAATAATGATAAAAATAATGTAGTAGTATGTATATAGAAAAAAATCTAGAGGAATAAAATGTTCAAGATTGGTTTTCTCCATAGAATGGAATTATAGAAGATTTTGATTTTTCAACCTGACATCTTTCTGATATGTCTTCAGTTTTTTTAAGTGAGTATATTCATAATTAGTGCTATTTATTAATATAGGCACTGTGGATAATACATGGCATTCATTAATAGCTACAATATTGCTAACCTTCATAACCACAGTAGACAATATAATTTTCAATCCTAACTACATTCATTGAAAGAAACTATCTTGTGAAATTCCTGGAGAATCCTCAAGAACTACTTCTCACATTATTGAGAAAACAGGGCTCAGTCGATATTCATGCAATAAAGAACCACACAAAAGATATAATGGACACTTATAACCAAGTCTGGGGAGAGGGCAACCTAGGGCTAACAAGCACAATCCAAAACCAAAAATGGCCAAGTTCATATGCTCAGCACATTCTGAAGTTCAGCCAGACAAAAATAATGAGTCTTACTACAATTATTCCTCTCTAAAAATACTTAATAATTATAACAAGTCGACCAAAATCTCCCGCCTGCCAGGAAACTCACCGTTTCTGGTTTTCAGACTCTTTCTTGGCTTGCTCCAGAGCCAGCTCCTCGGCTACTCTTCTCTTCAGTTCTTCATCGGAAACTGGAATCAGTAAAGAGCAAAAGGAGATGAAATTAGTGATTTTTGAAAAACAAAACCAAGAAAATACTCACAAAAACAAAGCTGAGACTGGAGCTAAAAGGGCAAAGTTCTGCCAGCTGGCCAGTGGCTCCTGGGGACCATCTAAGCACTATGGAAAAGACCAATTAGTGCATTTCAGCAGTAACTTAATCAAGAGTTCCCTGGTGACCTAGAAATTTCCACACCTGCCAAAATTGTGAATAAACTCAAGGAGCTCCTTACTGCCCATGGGGACTGAGCTGTTAAGTACAAATTCTTTAAAAGGATGTCCTATCACTAAAGTCTGACAATGGCATATAGAGGGAAGAGACGATGTAAGGAAGGGGTTTTACAGGGGAAAATTACACCAAAGCTTTCTCACTTTGATAATTAAACATTTTTTAAAAATCATTTATTACAGAGAGAAAATTATTTGTGTTTATATTTATTCTTCCATAATTTATGAAAAAAAAAGGCATTTGTGGACATTTTGAAACCTATTTTTGGGAATACATATCATTCAAATTCAAGTGCCAGCAACTGGAGAGAGACTTCAGAACAGTGCTGAGAACTTGGCTGGAGCTTCTTACAGACCTGGTGACTTGATGTGAAACATCTGGTCTTTACAATTAGAAAATTTTGTACGATGTGTTTTGTAAAGATTCTTACAGCTATGATAGCAAACAAAATAGATAAATTTTACAGACTCCTTCAGAGCCTTCCACACAAAAAATAAGCAGAGACTAACTATTTCCTCTTCACTAAAACCCACTACCCAAAATTATGACCAAGAAAGCACCAGAAACACTTAGGAGGATCTAGGAAGACACACTGGACTTATTATTTCAAACGGTAGCCTGTTAAATGGAAACGTAAACAGCACTGTCTGCTCTGCAACAACACTCTACCTGATGATCTGAACGTTATAAGCACCTTGCCTCAGGGCAGACAAAAAGTGAATTACAACAGGATATGCACAAGCCTCTTTAAATCGTGCTGACATTGGGCAATAACAAAGAAGATATATGAGAGGTGGTAAGGATGTTTTCTCTTACTGTTGGACTATCAGAAAACAACAGCATCAAAGGACATCAAGAAGGTGAAGACAACCCACAGATAGGAGGAAATATTGGCAAATCACATAACTGACAATTACCTTGTATCCAGAAAATACAAAGAACTTTTATAGCAGAACAATAAGAAGACAATTTTAAATGGGCATAGATATGAATATGCATTTTCCTAAAGAAGTGTTACAAACCACAATAAGCACATGAACAATTGCTCAACAGCATTTGTCATTTGGGAAATGCAATTAAAAACCACAGTGATACACCAATTTGAACCCACTATAATCAATAAGACGATAACAAGTGTTAGTGAAAATGTGGAGAAACTGGAAGCTTCATACATTGCTGGTGAAATATAACATGATGCACCCATTGTAGAAAAGAGACAGTCAGGTCCTCAAAATGCTAAACAAAGTGACCACAGGACCTAGCAATTTCACTCTTAGGTGTTCTATATACACAAGAAAATTGAAAATATATGTCTATACAAAAAGTTGTACATGAATATTATGGTAGCATTATTCATGGCATCCCAAAAGTGAAGACAGCCTAAATGCCCATCAACTGATGAATGGATAAACAATTGGTGGTATATCCATTCAGTGTGATGTTATTCAGCCATGGAAGTCATGAAGTACTGATAGATGCTACCACATGGATGAACCTTGAAACATCATGCTAAGTGAAAGAATGTCACAAAAGGTTGCACAACTTGCATGCTTCCACTGATATGAAATAGCTAGAAAAGGCAAGTCTATAGACTCAGAAAGGAGACTAGACTGGTTGCCAGGAGTGGGAGGAAGGTGAGAATGGAGAGTGACAGCTAATGGGGAAAGGATTTCTTTTTGGGGGTGTTAAAAATGTTCTAAAATTAGATAGTGAGAGAGAGAGCCATCTCACAACTCTGCAAGTATACTAAAAACCACTAAAATGTACAGTTTTATTGGTAAACTAACTGGGCAGCAGTTTTCTCAAATAGATGTTTTCAAATGGATGTTCTCAAATGGATGTTCTCTCGAGTGTCCCTTCAAACTATGTATTTTATGCTGCTGTTTGGCTTCGATCCTGCTTCAAAGTCTGTAGAAGAAGAGATGCACATCTCTGCTTTGAAAAGGTCCACAAAATCAAGAAAAAAAAACTAGAACAGGGAATTGTTTGCATTCAGGCAAATCTTATAACTTTTCAATATTAGGCAAATCTTACAACTTTTCAATATTAAAAGTTTTAGAAAACAATACAAATAAAAGTGAAATTAGTAACAGCTCAGCAAAGAGTCTAAATACTCTTTGTTTCTCTATTAGCTGAACTTTGGATAAAGTTTTGATTTCCTCACCCAAAAGCAGGACCAGGTGAGTTACATGGGTGTCTGCCACCTCAGAAGTTCTAGACTATACAGCCCACAAGGTAATGATTTTCACATTTTCATCGATTTCCCATAAACGAGCAAAAATCATGACTCTTCATTTTTTGGAGGTGTTCAGAACTACTAACTCTGTTAGCAAAAATTGAAACAAATACTTAATCAATTAGTATTATCTGATAAAACTATTCTCTGAAGTTCTACATACCAATCAGGATCAACACACAGCCAAACTGTACCTGTAAAATCATGCCACTTCCCCTAGATTGTTGCAAACTACCACAGCAAAAAATTTTCTCAGGCAAAATTCAAATTCTCAATCACAATGCAACTGAATTCCATTCAGCCCTTTAAAGCCTAGGCTTCAAAAGATGTCAGTGTACCAGGTCTAAATATGAAGCAATGAGATCAGTTTTCTAAGTGAGCTAATACAGTCTCGTATCTTCACATGTTGTGCCTCTTACAAAGGTGCTTCTTACCAGGGGAAAAGCTGAAATCAGCAGTGAGTTGTTTTTTTGTTACTCCTCACCCAAGGATATTTTTTCCATTGATTTTTAGAGAGTAAAAGGGAGAGGGAGAAACAGAAAAAGACACATGGATTGGTTGCCTACCGCACACACAACTGAGTTGCATGCCCTTGACTGGAATAGAACCCACGACTCTTTAGTCTGTGGGCCGATGCTCTAACCACTGAGCACCAGCTAGGGCAGAAGTGAGCTTTTTATTATGATGTGATCAATCTGGAATGGAACAATAAGGACTCCACTACCCAAGGGGGACCAGCTGGCTGGATGGAAAGGAAGCCATGCAGGAGAGACTGCAGAGAAGCAAATGTAGCTTCAAAACATGTCTTCTTTCTCTATACCCTCCTGCCTATCAATCACAGTCAGCCCTGCCACCTGCTGTGGGGTGAGGTGAGAAACAGATGGAGACAACTGTGGTATCATCTAGGTAGGCCAGGTGGGGATGGCAGCAGAGGGAAACCAGCAGCAATGCAAGGGGGGGAGGGGGGGAGGCGGGAGGACACTTCCAGGTCCACTGAAGAAGGTATACCAAAGGGAGAAATGAAAAATTACACACACACACACACACACACACACACACACACACACACCCCTTTTGGGTCTCACTTCCAAGGTCACAGCTGAAAAAGTAATTTCTTTAGCTACAATTGAGAATTTAAAATAACAAAAGATAAAACATAATCGAGCATAGTGAGTTTAAAATCTAAAATAGCAAGTCAAAGCCCAGGCAGGAAAATAAACCAGTCTAGTAATGGGTTTCTAGCAAATCTAAGTTTCATGTTATTTGTTTTTAAATCAATAGAATACAGAAAGCAACAACATATTTCTTCTGGTAGGTCTGACCCCAAGTGCGCAAGGGAAAAGATATACCTTCGGGAGACCGCTATTTTAAACGGCCCTGTTCAAAACACTCTTTCCAGCTCTCAGGATATGAACATTTTCTCAAAACTGTTATTAAACTAAAAGGTCAGTGTTTCTGGATGGGCTCCTTTAAGAGAAGCACAGGAAAGGCCAACTTTGCTGATTAGCACAGTGTGTCTCCAAGCAGATCTTTAGGGACTGGCAAAGTCTGTGAAATGAGAAAAAGTAAAAATGAGAAATGTCCAAGCCATAGAAATCAGATTTGCCATGGAAATCGGCACAACCACTGCAAGGGCAGGAAGTATGGTTCTATAGCTTTTACATACATACACTCTTTCCTTTCAAAATGTGTATGAAGACAAAGGATGTTTTCTTCTCGTGCATATACTTTTAAAAATCTCAGAACCCAATTTAAGTTCTGTCTCAATGGCAAATGTATCTTAGTGAACGCAAACACTGGCATTTTGTCAATTAGATATAGTAGGTCGACACTGACCATAAGACATATGAGGAAAAAGTCAAGCATTGCTATTGCTTGGTTACAGCAAGTCTGCCCTAAACTCTTTATTTGAAACTATTACTGAAAATTATAAATATCTGTGTGGTTGAAAGCAGCTCATGATTTCCTAACAAAATTATGTTTGTTTGTTTAGTAAACAACATTTCTAAATGAATGGTTTGGTTAGTCCACACATTCTTTACTGAATGCCTAGCAATAATTTACCCCTCTTAGCCACATTCCAAATTTCTAAGAATTTAAATTCTCAAGACATTCTAAGAATCTATATTTCTAATTTGGGTTCAGGATCAATGAGAAACTCCTAACCTTATACTTAATTATGAGTATTCTTAGCAACTGTGAATACCACATCTTAATCCTCAGAGAAAGTGTAGCATAAATTCATTACACCTCACCTGTCTTCTGGTTTATATGATTTATGTCCAAATTTTCCATTTTCAGAAACTGGTTAAACTGGTAGAGAGGGAATGGAGGGGATGGGGAGACACTATAATATATTTAAGACAGTTCTTTGTTGAACAGAAATGACTCCAAAAAATAGAATGACTTTATGAAATGTCTCATCATCTAAAATAAAACCAAAGACTGAAAATGCAACCATGATTTGAGACTTTCATTCCCTGGAACTCAGGGGACATACCAATTTC